ATCGTTCTCTTTTGTTCAATATCGTCTCATGTTTGAAGTCTTGGAGAAGTACACAAAACAAGGTAATGAAGAAAGGTGGATTCGAGTGTCTAAAGCACTTTCTCGATCGATGCATCTCAGAGTCATTTCAGTTGACGAATGTAAAAGACGCTTTAGAGATTTGACATCTTCGCAGGTATAATTCTTTATTCGTTGCTATATCTTATTCGGTTTTTAGCATTTTTCTTGCCGTTTTTGCATGTTTGGCAAAAACTACACGCCGTTTTTTACATGTGACTATTGTAAGGCCCAAAGCAAGTAAAGCCCAATTACAAATTGGCCCTCTTTGTTCAATTTTATCCATATCTCGAATTTTGCATGAAACTGCATGAAAAATCGTTGCGATATAACAGAGACTTTATGAATCACAATCACTTTATTCCTCTTCTTTCACAATCTCTCTCAAGTCTCTCTCAACTACATANCCATGTCTTCTTCGGGGTCTTCTTCGTCTTCATCTTTCTCCNTTGTTCAGTATCGTCTNATGCTTGAAGTCTTGGAGAAGTACGCAAAACNAGGTAACGAAGAGAGGTGGATCCGAGTGTCTAAAGCACTTTCTCGATCGATGCATCTCNNAGTCATATCAGTTGACGAATGTAAAAGACGCTTTAGGGATTTGACATCTTCGCAGGTATGGATTCGTTGNTTTATCCGATGGTTATTAAGGAACTATAATGATCGAGAGTAGGTTCGATTCTTTATTCGATGCAAAAATTTTCTTTTATCCGATCGTTAGTTTCTGAGTTGATCAATACTATAAAGGTTCGTTGCTTTATCCGATGGTTATTAAGGAACTATAATGTTCGAGAGTAGGTTCNAGACTTAAGTTCAAGACTAGCTACGTTCAAGATTCGATCTGTTTCTGTTTCGTTCTTTTTCTTGAACCTTTATTTATTTTTTTGTTTGTTAAAGTTTTCTTGAACCTTTATCTTGCAGACGTGGCAAGAAGACAAAGTGCTTGAGCTCAAAAGATTGGTGAAACTGTATGGTTGCGATTGGGATCTGATAAGTGAAAGTCTTGAAATCATGCCCAATATGTGCTATGCACGATTTCTGTAGTCTTAGGTGCTAGTTCTGTTGTTGCTCAGCTAGAGTGGGATCAGCCTGTGGTTCTTTCTGCTAGTACAGTTGAAACTCTT